CATCTGGGGCGGGCACTCAATCCTGACACCCCCCTGCCCCCATTCTCCTGGCAGGGTCTGTGCTGCCACGTCCAGCTGGGACCATTGCCCAACGTGCGTGCAGGAAGGGCCGCCACCGTCAGTCAGCCACATTTCCTCACTAGGGAGGGGAGTGTTTGGGTTGGCTCAGGGAGGGGAGCTGGGGGCTCTCTGAGGTCTCCATGGCTGAGCGGGGAAGGGACAGCGGCTGCAGGGGAAGACAGGCTTTCCTTCTGGTGAGAGGTTGGTAGCCACTTGCCAAGGGGGAGAAATATCTTCAGATCTAGAGGGTTTGGGGCAGGCTGTGATGGTTCCCTTCAGGCCCTGTTTGGGTCACTGGGTGACAGGCCCTGGCCCTAGACCATCATTCTAGGCCATGGTGCTCCCATCCTCCATCTGTAATCCCTCAATAACGACTTTGCCAGTCATCCTGGAGTGAGGACAAGAGGGGAGATGCAAACACCCGTGATCCCAGCTGCCCTGTGCCTCCGAGCATCTCCGGCAGCCTTGGGGCATCCTGCACTGCCAACCCTCTCCCCTCTTCTGTGTCCCGCCTCCTCCCCGGACACCTCCCCGCAGAGCACCACCATCTGGTTGGGGCCTGGTTAGACTCTGGTTCTAGTGGTAAACTAATCACGCGGAGGCGTTGAAGATTATCTAGAACTGGAGAGGTTACCTTTCTGAAGATTCTTGCATTTTAAAATTCACTTCGTAGAAGCAATGACTCATCTAGAGAGGGCCAGCAGAGTGGAGCCTTACTTCCGGTGCCCATGTGTTGGCTCCCACAGTGTGAACCCTGGTCCCTCAGGCCCCTGCTTGGTGGGCCTCAGGCCAACCCAGTGGACCCTTGAAGGGAAAGGAGGGGGTGAGGATGTTCTCTAAAGGAGAGGGATGAGTTGCAGAGAGATCCATGCGTTCAAACACGTGTGTTGAAGACCTACCATGGGCCGGACGCTGGATATCCATTGGGGCCAAATTCAGCAGGAGGCCAAGGACGGCAGTTCCCAGGGGAGTTCATGTGATTTGGCCCCAGGAGTTCATGGTGACCCTGGGGAGAACAGTTTCCAGAGAGGGTGAGGGTGGGGACAAGGAGACAAGGAAGACGAAGGTCAGAAAATGGCTCTCTGGGTACGTAAGAATCAAAAAAGGTGTTTTTTAAACAAGCCATGGGCCGGCCCTGTGGCTTGGTGGTTAAGTGCGCGCGCTGCAATGCTGGTGGCCCGGGTTCGGATCCCGGGTGCGCATCAAGGCACCACTTCTCCGTCCATCCTGAGGCCGAGTCCCACATACAGCAACTAGAAGGATGTGCAGCTATGACATACAACTATCTACTGGGGCTTTGGGGGGAAAAAATTAAATAAATAAAATCTTTAAACAAGCCAATTCCCACCCCGAAAACTCCACCTTTAAGTCTGCCCTAGGTGGCCCTCCAGACCATGGTCTAAAAATGGGGCTATGGAAGAGTCTGGCTTCTTCGCTCTGCCTAGAAAAGGCTTCAGAACAGCAGAAGATTCTTTTCCTGTGGTTCTCATCCAGTCTTTTCTGGGCCCGGCAAGGCAGCCAGGCAGTGTGGACCCCTGTAGCCTGCTCCGCTCGCAATCACGCTGGCTTCTGAGCGCTCCGCTGTTCTTGCCGGAAGTGCCTGCCACTCTGTAATCTGAGGGGAGGCCCTGGGGTTCAGGCCCCACTGGGGTCCCCAACACCATCTTCTGCTGTTCTCAGGTGTGGGCAGTGGGCTTGGGCACAGCGAAGGAAGGGAGGGGGCATCTCTGGAAGCTGTGTACCCAGGGAAGCCTGTTCCTAGTGGGTGGGGCCAGAAGGCTAGAAAAATAATAAATAAAAACAAAAGTAAAGGGAAGCAAAGCCCTTGGGTGCCAGAACGGGGCTGGCCGGGGCTGTGGTTGCCTGAGTAATGGGTTCCACATTTGTCTGGCTCTGTCTGCAGAGACCAGGATCCAGCATGCACGGCGGGCCTTGCAGGGGCTGGAGGGGACAGCCCCGTTGCGGCCAGACCTAGGCATACCCTGCGATGGCCCCATCCCCTCTGGCCACAACGTGGCTGAGACATTGCTGCAAGTTCACGCTCCAGCACCCCAGCCTCCCCCTGCCCCCGCCCGCGCTCCTGGGTCCCTGCCGGCCTGCACAGATTGTTCGAGTTATTAATGCCGTTTTCCCAGAGATCCCATCTGGCTTTTTAATTGCTCTGGGATGGGGCTAGGATGCTTTGATAGTGAATTGGTATCTTTCCTATGTCTCTGCTTGCATTGAATGCTCCATACAGAGAGGGGTATGGGGCGGGGGGAGTGGGGTGTAAGAGGAGGGAGAAAGCACAAGTCTTTCACCGAGACAAGAAAGATCTTTCAAAGGTGCTGGTAGTTCAGTTTTATTTAAAGAAGAGACAAACCTCCCTCCTATACCAGCAGAGGAAAGAAACAGAGGGGATGTCCTCTCTTTCCAGGCAAGGACCCCACCCCGTGTCTGTGGAAGGCCTGTGGGTCCCTGGGAGGGGAGGCCTCGTGTCTGAGCAAGGTCAGGGTTTCTGCTCCCCCTGGACCCGCACCACGAGTGGCCTCCTTTTTCCTTTCCCCACTGCCCCCTCCTCCCATGAAATCAGCAGCATAGAGGAGGCCTGGCAGGTTTCTGCCTGGGAAGGAGGGGGCGGGAGACCTGGGAGGGGCCGACACTCCTCACCAGTCCCAGTGGCTCATCACAGGTGTCAGGGCCAAACCCCACATTCACAGATTCCCAGGAGATCCAGGAGATAAGGGTGACATCCGTGACAGTGCTAAACCATCACATCTGGTTTAGAGCACCTCCCTCTCTCCCTTCTGCCCTAGCTCCTTCCCTGGAGGCTGGCTCCCCTGAACAGTGCTTTCAGGGGACACTGGGCTAGGATGGCCCACTGACGGGAGGAGGTCCCTGCTACCTCTCACGGAAAAGCACAAGGCAGAGGCATCCAGGCGTGTTGGGCTGGGTCCATGGCCAGGTCTGGGGTCAAAGCTGCCGCCTCCAGGAAGGCGTCCGTGGTGGCCTCTGTTCACACTTTGAGCTTCCCCGTATCACACTTGTCCCCCCTAGAGCACATCTTGGGGCCACAAAGCTGTGAGCTCCCGGAGAGTAGGAGCCGAGTCTGCTTGTTCCCAGCTGAGTGCCCCATCCCTGGCACAGGCCCTGGCACACAGCAGGCATCCAGTAAATTCTTGGGGGCCTGGGGTGCCAGGCTCTTGGAGTGGTTCTTCATGAAGGCTGCAGTCAGGAGGGGAACCCTGGGGGTCCCTGCAGGAAGCAGCGGGTAGCAGGAGCAGCCCTCCCTGGGGGCCCCTCTGGCTGGGCACAAAACTCGTGCTGGGCAGGTTCACCTCCTGCTGTCCCCCAGCACCCGCAGGCGGTTGTGTCTACTGGGGGCCCCATCCTTTTCCTGGGGCCGGCTGTGGTGGGATCTGTCTTCCCCAACAGAGCCTGCCCTGGACCTCAGGATCTGCAGTAGGAGGCGAGCCCTTTCCTGAGCCGACGGCTTTGAAAGAAGAAACCCCTGGAGATGGGACACTGTGTGTGGGGAGGAGTGAGGGCAGGAGGGGCGCCCCTCCCCTGCTGGCCCTGGGCTCTGTTCTGGGGGCAAAGGGGGAAGCCGAGGCTTGGCCCCCTCAAACTAGAAAAACTGGAATTCGCGCTGAACTCAGAGAGGGTTTGCTGGGGCCTAGCAAGCTGCAGCCTGCCCCAGGCCCCCAGGCGGGCGGCGGGGCTCTGCCTCTTGGTTCCCAGGCGGCGGGGCAGGCTGCCGCCTCCTCACTGGGCTCACGGCCTTTCCTCTGCCAAGGGCGGCCATGGGTGAGGAGGCGGCAAGATATGGGACGGAGAGGGCGGTGGGGGGGGAGCAGGAAGGGGGGGCGAGTCACCCCCCCACCCCCCGGTTAACCACGCAGGCAGGTAAAGCTAAAGCTTTGAGAATTTAAAAAGAATGTGTAATTTCTTGAAACTGTCCCAGCCCACGTTGGCATATACTGTAAGCTGCTCAAGAGAGCACTCCCGGGTGAAAACAGAGGGAGGGAGTGTTTGCCTTCTACCCTCAGAGAGAGTGAACTCTGAGACTCTGCCAGCCCCTAGATACTGCTCCCCAGCATTGTTCCTTCAGGCACAAGGATGCGCCCTCCCTTCACTGGCCATCACTGCCGCTAAGGGAGGGGGTGCCGGGGTGCCTGTTCTCAGGGGCAGTCGTTGGAGGGAGGGGCTTGGTCCAGGGTGGGCACAGCGGGGATGGTAGACGCTGGGGCTGGCCCTTTTAGGTGGCGTGTGGGGAAGGGCCAGACCCCCGCGGCAGGCCTCCGTGGGCCCCCTTCCTGGATCAGCTGGGGCTGGGCAGGTGTGGAGTGCCGGGTAGGTGGGTGCTTGGCTTCAGGCTGCCCCTCAGGGCCCTGCTGGGGTAGGCTGCAGCCACATGGCCCAGAGCAAGAGGGGAGGGGTGGAGGGTCCTACTGCCTGAGGCCTCTCCCTGCCCGCCCAGGGTCCTGCGGGCAGGCTGGGGCAAAGGCGGGTGTGAGCGAGGCTGTTCCAGAGCTGGGGCTGTGAGTGATCGGGAAGTGAGTGTGCCCAAGGGCCCCTGGAGCCCGGAACCGCTGGGCCAGGCCTGCCCACGTCCCAGGGAGGCCACGGCAACTTCAGACTCCCTCTCCGAGTCCCCCTTCTCCTCCCAGGGGCTGAGGAGAGGCCACGCCAAGGCCCCAGGACATCCCCCTCCACACACCCCAGGAGGCTCTCTCTTCAGGCTTTGGCATTCTCAGCCCGGAGCCTTGTCATCCTTCTACCATTTATTTGCCTTGGTTGGGAGAAGTCATCCCCTTAATGTAAAGAGGAGCTCAGGATGGGTGGAGAGCTAATGCAAGTCAGGATCTCAGCCAGAGAATATGCTGTGATTATTTACAAATGTGACCTGGCCCACAGAAAACCTTGGAAGTAGCTTTTCTCATTTTAAAAAGACACCAAAATTTACTTTGATATGTTTATATTATAGATATAATACATAAAACATCTAGCATGAAACTCTACGTTCTCCCCAAGGAAGAGAACCAAGCCGCCCTTCCCTGCTCCCAGGCCCAGCGATCTGTGCGTGCTGGCTGGAGGCCGCCTCCCTTCCAAACCAGGAGCCAGAGCCTCTGGGGGACCAGCCTGCAGGCAGCCCAGGCTGGAGGGGCTGGAGGCCCACAGCCACCCCCAGGGAAAGCTGAGAGGAAAGGGGAAGCCCACCTCACCTCTTTGGTTCCCCTGGGAGCAAAAGCAATCCCCAAACCAAGAGGAAAGAGAGCCGCAGACCCTCCCTGCAGCTGCTGACGAAGAGTCTCATTTTGGCAAGTATCTGAGCAAAACCAAAACAAAACAAAAACCAAATAAAATGGTGGTTTAGCATAGACGTGCACACGCACATTGCACAAGGCACCGCTGGGACACCGAGAGGCCAGATACAAGTGTTGATATCGGCTGATAAAGCAAAATATTTGGAAAGCTTCTCATAACTTTGGTCCCTCTGGGATGGGCCGATTGTGCTTCACGTTTGTGGGGCAATGCTGGGGACATACAGTACAGAGGAGGCTGCTGGTCCCAGTGTTCCTCCCAGCCCAGCCCCCAGACCAGATCTCTAGGTTCCCTCTTCCACCAGGCCACCACTCCCATGAACATAATGTCCTTATAGCTAACCAGCGACAGAGCTTTTCGGTCTGACTGGGGGTGGGGCGCTCCCACTGGTCACCTGGTGACCCCCACCTCAATGAGTTCTGCCCGGGGAAGTGCAGCCTGTTGCAGGCTGGGAGGTTAGAGGCAAGGAACTAGGGCCCCTCCACCTTCGTGTAGAACTAGGGGAACAACCTTTGTTCAGAGCCCTGTGTTTCCTCCTCTCCAAGGACAGGCGCTGAGGAGCGGCTGGGGCTGGCTTGTCAGGTTCTCTGCTCCCTGGACCGTCCGCCCGCTGGGGGCCTGCTGCAGCCTCGGGGAAGAGGCAGGAACCCTCCAAATAAAATGACAAGGCACATATTTGCCCCCCCTACTCGGTAGGAATGGGAGCGGTGAGTTTTCGTTTCCAAGGCACAAGGTTATTCCTTAATACTTGAGTTGCCGGGCTCCCGGCTCAGCCCCAAGGCGCTTCTCCTCTCTCGCAGGGAGAAACTACTGCCTGACCCCTCAGCTTAGACGCACCGTGTCCGGCGCAGAGGAAGGAAAGGGGCACGCGCGGCAGGCAAGGCTTTCAGGCGGCACCGGAATCTCCTAGTCCTGGCTCGCGCGGTTCGGGCAATCTGGAGATCCGGAGACCCGAAACCACTCCCCGGGGCCCAGCCAGCGGCCGGCCCAGGGCGGTCCCGCCGCGGCGCGCCTCACGCGCAGTTGCCCATGGCCTTGACGAGGGAGCTCTCCGGTAGCTGGCGGAAGATGCCCCGCAGCGTGTCCAGTTCGCGGCTCAGCTGTTCCACCCGCTTGCGCAGGCGGTCGTTGTCACTGGTCAGCTCCAGCACCTTCTGCTGCGTCTCCACGTTGCGCTGCTTGGCCTTGTCGCGGCTCTTGCGCACCGCGATGTTGTTGCGCTCGCGCCGCACCCGGTACTCGTTGCTGTTCTTGTCCACCGACTTCTTGGCTTTGCCCGAGCCGCCGCCGCCGCCCGCGCGCAGGTCGGGGTGCGCGGCGGCCAGCCCCTTGAGCGCGCCGCCCGGGCCTGGCAGGCCAGCGGCGCCGAGCGCGGGCGCGGGGTGCGGGCTGGGCACGGGCGTGGGCGGCGGCGTGGGGTGGCCGGGCTGCAGGTGCATGGTGGTCTGGCCGCAGTGCGCGATCTGGAACTGCAGGTGCGGGGCGGCCAGGTGCGCGGGAGGCGGGTGCGGGTGCGGTGGTGGCGGCGGCGGCGGCGGCTGGTAGGGGAAGAGGCCGGCCAGCGCCAGCTGCTTCGCCTCGTCCTCCTCGCGCGGCTCCTGCTTGATCACCAGCGGCCGCAGCGCCGGCGCCCCGACGCGCTCGTACAGGGGCTCCAGCCTGCCGTCCAGGTAACCGGCCGCCGCGCAGCCGTAGCCGGGAGGGGGGCCGTGCGTCCCCCCGGGCATGACGGCGCCGCCGGGGCCTACGGGGGCGCCCGGATAGTCAAAGTCGCCGCCGCCTCCCGCAGGGGCCGCGGCCGCCTTGGCCTTCTCCTGCTGCCGGCTGTGCTGGAACAGGTCGGCCAGGAACTCGTCGTTGAAGGCGGCCGGGTCGATGTAGGCGCTGATGTCGATGGACGTCTCGTGTTCGCAGATGCCGCCCAGCTGCTCCGGGGCGGCAGGTGGGGCGGGGGGCTGCGCGGGGCCCGCGCCCCGGGGAAAGCCGAAGGCGGCGCTGCTGGGCGCGTGCGGGGGACTCTGGAGGTGGCTGCTCATCGGGGGCCGCGGCTCCGCCTCGTAGAAGTCGGCCGACTCCATGGGGGAGCTACAGTCCTCCCGGCATGGCGAGCCTCGGCGGCCTCCAGCCTGCGCGGGACGCCGCTGCTGCCACCGCCCACCCGGAGCCCCTACTCGCTCGCGCCCGCGCAGCTCCCGGTCGCGAATGGCCAGGCCCGCGCGGGCCCCGCATTTATACCGGGGCAGCCGTCGCCCTCTAGTGTCCAAATCTGACCACCGGCGACGGCGGCGGGGAGCCTTCTGGGTCTTAGCGCCTGTCTCCGGAGGGATCTGTGAGCGGGGCCGGAGCGCGGCGCTGGCGGGGAAAGGCCCAGGAGCAACGCCCACTGCCCCCTGCGCCGCAAGCTGAACCCTGACGGACGCGCGGTGCCCTATCCTCCGCCGAGTTGTTGCTCCGCGCACACGTGGTCGGTGGCGGGGCCCCCTCCTGTAGCCTCCCGTAGGAGGCCACTTCTGGCCACTTTCAGCCGACGGCGGGGAGCCCGGGAGCACCCAGACGCCGCGGAGAGGGTTGGTGGAACGCAAGTCTTCGTCTCCGATCTACTGTGGCGCGGACTCGCTTTAAAAGCTAGAACCAGTCCTGTCGGGGATCTCTGTCCGAGGTCTCTGGAAGGCGGCGGCGTAGAGAAGGGGCCGGGGGTGGGGGTGGCGTGGCAAAGAACAGTTTTGGACATACGGCCCAGCGTACACCGCCGCATGGAGAGGCCGAGGGGAGAGGCCCGGGGCCCGGTGATTTTGCGTCTTTATCTCTGATCTCCAGGAGACCCCACTGATTCCGCGCAGAAGAACCTCTTTCCCCGCTCCGCCCCTCTCAGTACTCTGGGGTCTTACGGACTCTGCAGCGCCGGGCGCTAGGACCCCGCGGGGAGCAGAGGGACAGGGAGGCGGCCGCGGCCCGGGAGCCTGGAGGACCCGGCCGGCCCATCCGCCTAGGCTGGAAAACTTTTTCTTTTTAATTACTTCTAGCCGGAGCGCTAGGGTTGCTAGGCGCGCGGGGCTGGCGCTGCTGCTGGCGCTGCTGCTGGCGCTGCTACCGGCGCGGGGCCGCCAGTTTTTTCCTGCGGGACGGGCCGAGCTGGATTCCGGGGCGGGCGGGGCGCGCAGAGGGAGAAGGCGAACTCGTCTCCGGGAGCGGGATCCCGAAGCGGGGCTGGTGGTCGACGGGGTTGGAATCCGCCGCCTTCTCCCCTACTCCCCATTCAGGTGGGCTCCAAGGCGGGAGTGGGGGTGTTGAGGGAGCCGGAGCCTCGGAGGGAGTCTGGCGGCCCAGGGTCTGAGCACCTACTGGCAGAACCCTGCTGGGTGGTTCCCAGGGCGCTGGGTCCCCTGGAGCCCCCTGGGGGTGCCCCCTGGGCGCTGCGCCGCCTCCGCACTCGCTGCTGCCGGGGGAAGGGGTTTATGGCAGCGCGTCTGCACAGCCACGTGGCGCCTGGAGCGTTCTATATCGGGACCGCGGGGCCAGCGGGGCTCCCTTAGGGCCTCGTGGGCCCTCAAGTCACTCCTGCCTCTACCCTCCTACTGCCCCTTACGACTTTGTGCGCTGAAGCCCAATGCCGCCTGGATGCTGACTAGAGGTGTGCCTGCCGGAGAATCGAGGGGCAGCGCACGTCCAGACCCCCTCCCGGAGGGTGGCCTTCCAAAGCCTGGCAAGGCGCCACAGCCCGCCCAGGAGTCCTCAAGGAGGCGCAGCGCAGAAGCAGGGCCCGGGAAGGCCGAGCTTCCACTTTACTGTGGTCACAGCAAAGAAGCAGCTTCCTCTGGGGAACGCATCCTGTGCTTTAATCAAGTTCCTATTCAACTATTCCCAATGATTAATGGCCCAACTGCTTCGTTTTTTGGTCCAGAGCTCACACACACGGTATTTTTAGCTTGATGCTTTTGGACTGGGGGTAAAAGATTCGTGAAATAAAGAACCTGTGTGAACAGGGAAGCTGCTCTCCGGGCCAGACGCAGGACCGGTTTTTACACCACGACCTGTGGACACCTGGAGGGAAACCCAAAGCAGGAGTGGGATTTTCATTTTTTCTGCAATGCTAAAAGTAGCGGCCTGTCCTAGTGTAGGAACAAAGAAAAAGGCAACTGAAGGTGTCCTGTTCCTAGCTGTACACCTGGTCTCCTGCCCAGGGTTCCTGTTTACTGTGCAGGCGGCAGCAACGTCTCCTCTTAGGATCTAAGGAAACCGCAGGGCTGGGGAGCACTGGAACAAGGCCTTGCCAATAGGGTGTGTGGGGGTGAGAGAGGCACCAAGTGGCGCCCACACCCAGGGCTGCAGGTCCTCCCCCAGTGGAACCAGAATTTTCCCCGAGAGGCCTGCTCTGTGCAAGGTGCTCAGTGCCCAGAGACGAGTGAGAAGCGGCCCCTGCCCTCTTGGAGCTCTGGGCACAGTCGGGGAGGCAGACAAGTCATCACACGACGTCTGCTGGGAGACAAGGGCCTCCTCGCAGAGGAGGTGGCACCGAAAGAGCAGGGGATGGGACTGGGCAATTCCTCCATGAACTCATCAAACGTCTGTTAGGAGACGCACATGGGGATGAAGGATGGACGTGTTATGATAAAGGGACATCCTGGCCTGGTGAATGTGGGGCTCGAGAGGAAAGACCAACTAATTTTGTCTGGGGAGGTGCTGGGGGCTCAGTTGTGTCCTGGGGGCTAAACTGAAGCCTTATCCCCCAACATGACTATGCCTGAGATGGGTTTTTTAGAAGGTAATTAAGGTTAAATGAGGTGGTAAAGGTGGGGTCCTAATCCGATAGGATTGGTGGCCTTATGAAAAAAGGAAGAGAGAAAGAGCTCTCTCTCAGTCATGTGAGGAGACAGAGAAGGTGGCATCTGCAAGCCAAGAAGAGAGTCCTCACTAGACCTAACCATGCTTCCACCTTGACCTCAGACTTCCAGCCTCCAGACTTTGAGAAAGTTAATTTCTTGGCTTAAGCCACCCAGTCTGTGGTGTTTTGTTACGGCAGCCCGAGCTGACTAAGACAGGATGTCAGAGAGGACTGCCTGCGGGAGTGGACCTTTGTGTTGCACCTTGAAGGATGAGCAGGACTTTGCTAGAAGAATAAGCAGACGGAACGGCAGGTGCAAAGGTGGAGAGGCTGCGAGTGCCTGGCATGTTCTGGTGACAAAGGACAAGACGTTTGACGAGCTGGAGTGTGGAGATTGCTGGGGAGGGGCCTAGATAAGGCTGGATCCCAGACAGGGCTGGGTTCACTGCCAAGGCCATTCCAGGTGAAGGAGAGAGCCTGTTTCACAGGCTTTTGCCATCCAGCTTTTACAGGGGAGCACTATGATCCAATTTGGGTTCCTGAAAGGCCACTCTGGTAGGAGCTGGAGAGGGGAGGTTTGACCAGCTGAAAACCAATGGAGACCTGAGGTCCGTGGGGGGAATAGAGGGCAGGGATGGATTTGAAGGAGATGTCAGGACCTGGAGTCTGGGCAGGGGCTGAATGCCTGGCTTCTGGCTGGGGTTACCATCCTCCATCATATGTAATGCAGGGAAAATAGAGGGCCCCTCTAAGCCCCTGGGGGCCATGGAGTCTCACCACCCACAGGAAACCCGCCTGCCTGCTTTGCAGTCTGGAGGAGAGGACCATGGCTCAGGAACAGCCGCCAAGATCCACCTGCCACCTTCTAGTTTTTCCTTCGTGGTCTAAGAGAACACCTTGGGATGAGGAGGAAGTGGTTTAGAGGGCAAGTAGTGGTCTGTGGGTGGGCTGCCCAGAGATGAGCGGGTGTCTAGGGGCCTGAGGTGGTAGAGTCCTGGAGCTGTCTAAGCCCTGAAGCAAGAATTAGCCGCAGAACCTGGGTGAGACCCCAGGGTTGGTAGAGCCACTTCCCATGGGAGGCGCCCACGGCTGGAAGGGAACGGTGGCCTGATAGGACGCGTGGGCTGTCAGCATTTGGCTGGAATCACCTGGGAGGGAGATGGCTCTGTGGCTCGTGCTCAACTGAGACAGAGCCAGTAATAAGAGAAGCTCGTAAATCCTCTCTCTGACCACCTTTACGATCCTTCTTCCTCGTCTTAATTGATGGCACTTGGCAGTCCCTGGGGAGAGCTCTCCATACACTCTGGCCTCAATGTGCTCGGCAGGCGGGGCCATGGGGCAAGGGACTCCAGCTCCGACAGGCTTCCAGCTCCTCGGGGCCTGACTTCTGCCACTGCAGGGGCCAGGGGAGAGAGGGAAGAGGCATGCGCTGGCTCTGGCTCCACTTTTTACAAAGGAGAAAAGCAGCAACAGAAGTGAAAATGCATTTCGTAGGACAGGTCAGAAGAGGAGGCTGCGGAGTTGGGTGAGGGCCGGCCCCGTGGGAGTCAGTGAGCGGGGCCCTCCCCTCCATGAATTGTGGTCCTGAGTTCCGGGTGCTCCAGGATGGAGGCTGGTTCAGAGTCATTCACAACGCTAACCGTTTTGAGAAGACCAACAGAGCCTTAGGAAGTTTTTTCCGCTTTGACTCAACCCTCCTAATGCAATGCACGCAATAGAATTAGTATGTAAGTTTGAAAATCAATCAACTTTTGAAGAGCAAAACTGGAACGAACCCTTCCGATTTAGTTTTCTAACTTTATCTAAAGCTAAATGGATGTAAGATTGGTCACTCCAAAGCAGGACTAGTTAAGATAATTAATAAGGACTAATTAAGATAAGATAAAAGTCAAGAACTACATTTTTCAGGCACAGTTTGCACTCTGCCTGGGCGCCTGAGTATCTAATACAGTATGTCTAATTCAGTGACTCAAGAAAATACCCTCAAAGACCTTCCTAAAACTTAGACAAACAAAACAAAACACGAGTTACTTTTTACTACAAATGCACTGGCTAATGAGTTTTATGCTTTAGATATTGACAGGCAGAGCATGCGATCGCAACGGACGGTCAACCAAGAGTCTACTGTTTCTCAGCATCAGGCTCCGCATACTTGAGGAAGCCATTCTCATTACCCATTAGATTACACCAGGAGGCCCGGTGGTGTGGGGGGGGTTCCTCAGACCTGGAGAAACCCCTGCTTCATCATTTACTAGCTGGGTGACCTTGAACAAGTTACTGAATTTCCCTGAGCCTCTGTTTTCTTTTCTGTAAGTTGGGGAAATAATTCATTGTAATCCATTCTCTGCTTGTTCTAGGGCAAAGCACCCAGATGTCATGCAGAACTTTACAAGGCATAATTAATTCCGTC